ACACACACACACACACACACACACACACACACACACACACACACACACACACACACACACACACACACACACACACACACACACACACACACACACACACACACACACACACACACACACACAATACATCACATATTTAACAATAATGAGTGCTTTCCATTTAGTGACACAAGTCGATTAGATTTAGATTTAAGATAGAATTAGATTTAAATCGAACTTAGATATAGGTTTAGAATCACGATTTTTTTATTTCGACAATTCGTCGTCGTCGTGATCATCGTAGTCGTCGTCGTCGTCGTCGTCGTCTAAAATAAAATATTTATATTATTTAATTATATTATTTAATATATAATTATATATATTATTTAATATATATTATTTTATATTATTTAATATATAATTATATATATAATATATATTTATATTATTTAATATATAAATTTTATTTTTATTAATATATAAATTTTTTTACAGGAATGGACGTTCTCCGACTGTTGAGAGTATCAAATACAATTCATTTAGGGTTTTCTAGATCTTTTATTAATTTTGGATTATAAAAATAATAATGATTTAATTAGAGCATATACACTTATCCTTATGGGAGAATGTGCTTTTCACATAAAAAAAACAATTATTCGTATGACTTTTAAAGATAAGTTTAAAAACAGAGTAATTAGATATACGTTCCTTCATAAAATTGAAAGCGAATATTTCAATTCTTTATTACTAAGAGACAAACGAGAATGGAAGAATGGAACATTGTTCTGTTTCAAATTAAAATTTAAATGATTAAATGATTATGATTTAAATATGAACCTGGAATATTTTCGATCTTTGCGAAATATTGCACGTCTTCCTTTAAACGAAGATACAATGTCACTTATCTCAGATCTTTTTTAAAATTACTGCAATGAAGAAGAAATAGCAAACCTAATAGAATTATAAAAATTTTTTACACATAATATAATTATTTTCCAGCAAAATGATGAAGAAAAATAAAAATATTCTTTGTATTGTTGTATTGTTGTTTGCTATGTTTATAAATTATATTAATATTAATTTTTCAATTATATTAATCTTTTTTCACTTATTTTAATATTTAGTAATTTTAATAATTGTATTAACCGTGCATAAATTTGTTAAGTTTATTTTTTATTATTTTTTATAAAAATGTTTATAATAATGTTCAAGTGCTTGTATGAAATCCAGAGGAAATAAAA